CCTCGCGGGGCCCAGGGGCCGCGGACAAGGCGCCGACCCACGGTGGGGGAGATGGGGGTCTCACCGAGCTGGCCGGGAGCCATGGCGGCAGCACGGGGGAGCGATCAGCGCGGTGGGAGCGGCGACGCCACGTGTGGAGGGAGGCGGGAGGCCCGGGCCCGGAGGTTGAGGAAGCAGATGGGCGGGGCCGACCCGTCATGTGACCTCCCCTCCCTTAACCCCGCCTCTCGGCGCCCCGGCCCCGCCCCGCCCCATTAGGGAACTTGACGCGGCCGGCGGAGGGGAAGGCGGGGCCTGGCCCCCGAGGGGGCGGGACCTGGCGCCGAGGGGGCGGGGCCTGGCCCCAAGGGAGCGCGGCCGCCCCGGGAGCTGGGACTCGCTGCGGGGATTCTGGTCCACGCGACCGGGCGTCAGGTCCTGGCTCTTCCAGGGGCGGCCGCGCTGAGACCTCCATTGCAATGGCTGCTGCCCTAGCAGCCTAACCCCTGGTTGGGATGGTGACAAAAGTGTCACCGTTATACCCAGGCTGGAAACAAGTGAAAGAAACCCACGATCTTAGAGGGGCAAAGCTAGAGGGGACATCGGGCAGCCTCTGCCAGGCTTCCCCGTCCAGCGTTCCGGAAAGTAAAACCGAGGCCTAAACGTTGGCTGGCTTCTGAAAATCCACAGATCAGAACCAACGAGGCAAGGAAGCGGAAAGCTGGGGTTCTGTGTGCGTTTAAGAATTGTTATTATAAAGGTGACGGACAGGGCGGCTATAGCTTCGGAAGTAAAGCAATGAGGACATTTCTTTTTGGACAGTGTCACCCCTTCGCTCTCCTGCAGTGTTTCGCTTCCCCTTCCCACCTACAAGCTATATAGTTCATTTTCAACATAGTGTCTAGTGAGTACCACGGCTGGGTTTACCCTTTGACAGCTGAGGGTTGTTTGTTTTTTCATTCCAATATTATAAAATGCCTGAAATTTGAATCAAGGTAGTGTTTTTCTCAAACTCCTAAATTTGATTTGGCCTCTCAGGCGCAGATGAAAGAAATGCTAACAATTAATGGGAGAAGGTATTTTATAGCTTGTTAAAAACCATGTCAGCAAAACTACACATTCTGTTGAGAGCAGGTGGCTCAAGCCCGTAATTTTAGCTAGTAAAGGAGGCTGAGATCTAAGGATCAAGGTGCAAAATCAGCCAGAGAAGGAAAATCTGGGAGACTTATCCCCAGTTAACCACTAGAAAGCTGAAAGTAGAGCTGTGGCTCATGGGGGAAAGCACTAGCCTTGAGCACAAAAGCTCAGGGATAGTGCCCAGGCCCTGAGTTCAAGCCCCACACAAATACATATTGCTGTCTACACAGGCCTAGTTTTTATGCTCTTTATTAGGATAATATTACAATATAGTGCCTGCAACCATTTTATTCTTAGTCTAGGCTCTCACACTATGCTGACTTGCCTACCTTCCTTCCTTCCTTCCTTCTCTCTCTCATCAATTCTGGGGATTGAACTCAGACTTCATACTCTACCTTGGCTTTTTTCACTCATAGCTAGCGTTCTACCACCTAAGCCATGCATCCACTTCCTTATTCCTGTTTTTCCTTTCCCTTTCAAATACGTTCAGTCATTTCCTTATTCCCTCAAATAAATTCCTATTGACTTGAAGTAACTCTATTCCAGTCACTTTTTACTTCCCCAAATCCATATCTATTGTGTAGAATCAAGTCTATTTTTGACCTCTAAATACATCCTTGCTTTGAACACTTCTCACATTTTTAAGAGAGAAATAATAATCTTTGCATTATCTTTAGGATGTGCTTGTTAACTTTTTTATTTTGTTTTTTATTTGCCAACTTGTATGTTAGAGAGACAAAGTTCATAGCAGTAGTAAAGGACATTTCCCTATCCTTAGGTTTTAAAAGGAAATAAAAATTAGAGAAATAAGATGAATTGATTTTTTTTTCTGGGATGCTTTGATGAGAAGAAATCAACAGTGCCTGAACAATAGACATTTTCTCTCCATGCAGATTCTTTTTGGTACATATTTATTGAACCCCCAAGTAGCAGAAATGCTGGGTGATGAAGAGAGATAACTATCACCTAGTCACAGTACTGAAGAAACTCAGGATGAGATCGATGAAAAAGACACATATTTTAGTGTAACTAGGGGATATCAATACAAACAGAAAACAAAGCACTGAACTGATTTTATAAAGTCCCATGGTTAGAACTGGACACAATTTCTTTTACTTCAAGTCATTTACTTTGATTAATTCTGAATCATTCTTCCACAGTTTTAGGATGCAGTCTGGACAGGTCCTTCATGTGTTAGTGGCAAGAAGAGTAAATGAGATTTTTACTGGCATTGTGATCCCAGTCAAGTCACGTCATCTTTGGGGATCTTTGTGACTTTACATGCAATAGCACACTATTTGTTCTGCAGTCTGCACTGTGTTGTATGCAGGACAAGCAACTGATAAGAAGACTCATGACTAATAAAGGTAACAGAGAAGCATAGTGTTCTTCGTGGTTGACTTTATGCATGTGTGGGACTAGGGCTTGAATTTAATGCTTCATACTCTGGCTTAGCTTTTTCACTCAAGGCTGGCATTCTACCCTTGAGCCATACCTTCATTTCTGGCATTTCACTGGTTAACTGGAAATTAGAATCTCTTAGATTTGTCTGCCTGGGCTGGCATCCAACTGAGATAATCAGATCTCAGCCTCCTGCCTGATTTTCTTGATGTAGCTAGTTAGGTATCTTTCTGATCTTCAGAGTATTTCCTTAAGAATACCTGTCACAAGCAAACAAGTACTTAGGAGAAATTTTTACAAAGACAGGATTCATCATCTATCAAGGGTTTAATAACACTACCAAGTATGTTGCTTCTACACACACACACACACACACACACACACACACACATGCACACACACACACGAGGGATAGGAAGACCTGAAACTTGATCCCCAGGACAATAAAAAAGTATTATAATAATTATACTTTAATTTTTCTCTTTTCACTTCATATCCTACCTAAAGAAAACTTGATGACCTTAAGTAATATTACTATACTGAAGAAATTACATATGTGTGTGCGCGTGTGTGTGTTTATGTGTGCCTCTCATGGGGCTTGAATTTCGGGCCTATGCACTGTCCCTGAGCATTTTTGCCCAAGGCTAGCACTCTACCACTTGGACCACAGCTCCACTTCCAGCTTGTTGGTGGTTAAATGGAGATAAGTCTATGGACTTTCCTGCTTGGGCTGGCTTCAAATTGAAATCTTCAGATCGCAGCATCCTGAGTAGCTAGGATTACAGGCATGAGCCTCCAGCATTCAGCCTGAATGTGTTTTTGTTTCCTATCATATGTTTCTTGTCTAAATTCATCAGTTCTTCCAAACCTGCCCTTGTCTACCATCGTTTAGCCAAGTGTGACTTGGCTGGGTGCTTATAGCACAAATTCCCTTATAGGCTGACTGTCTCATCAAAATTTCATGCTTGCAAAGATGTGAAGAAAAGATGGGGGTGGATGAGAGCAGGTCATCTAGGGACATTTAGGCTTCTCAAGAGTGACAAAAGCTGGAAGTATGGCTCACATGGTAGAAGATAATCTCACAGAAGAATATATAAATGTTTTCCTACTTATTTGTATGTAGCTCTTTTCTTTCAGGCTGAACTCATGCCTCACACTTGCTAGGGTCACACTCTCCCACTTGAGTTATGCCTTGAGCCCTCTGGTTTTATTTTGCCTTTTAGATAGGGTCTTGCTAACTTATTGTTGCAAACCGTTGCATGCTCCTTAAACTGCCACGACTGGGAGCAACACAATAATGGAGACCAGACTGTGGAACTGAGGTTTGGGGTACCAGGGGACCTGAAGCCTTCTGCTGGCAAGAGATCCCAAGGTTCCATTAACCAAGGTTCTTATTGGTCTTGTGCAAGGAAGTAAGGTACAAACTTCAACATGTGACAACACCTTGTATACAAGCAGCAGGTGACCTTATTTTGAGAAAGAGAACTAAACAGTAAACAGCCTACGATTTGCATAAACTTAAGTCTACTCTTAGGCTCCCACACAGGAGCCAGAGTAGATCAATCAGCCAGAACTGATTAATCTTTCCAGGACAACTCTCAGCATTCCAAAAGTATATTGGGAGAAGGCATTCCAAGCTCCAAATCCTTTCAGGGTCTCACAGCTTGGATTTTTGGGCTCTCACAACTTATCCCAGGCTGGCCTTGAACAAGAGATCATCCTATCCCTGCCTCCTGAGCAGTTGGAGTTACAGGAATGTGCCACCACTTATGGTTTTTGTTTTGTGTCAACGATACTAGCATGTGAACTCAGAGTCTCACGCTTGCTAGACAAACAGTCCACCAATTGAACGATATCTCTCAACCTTTATTTGCTTTTAGTTAGTATTCCAGTAGGGTCTCGTTTTTTTTTTTTTTTACCATAATCCTGGCCTCACAGGTCTGCACTGCCATATGTGTCTGTGGTGAGATGATTGGTTGAAATAGGGTTTCATTAATCTTTTGCTCCAGTTAGCCTTGAACCATGATCCTCTGAGTCTCCACCTCTTGAGTAGTGGATATTACAGGTGTGAACCACTACATGAGGCTAATTTTGATTTTGTTGTTGTTGTTGTTGGTGGTCATGAGGCTGGAACTCAGGGTCTGGACACGGTCCCTGAGCTCTTTCTCAGAAGTGGAGTGACTGTGCCACTTCCAGTTTTCCGGTGGTTCATTGGCGATAAGAGTCTCAGGGATTTTCCTGCCTAGGCTGGCTTCAAGCCATGATCCTCAGATCTCAGCCTCCTGACAAGCTAGGATTACAGGTATGAGCTACTGGAGCCTGGCTGATTTTGATTTTTTTGAGACAAGGTTTTGTGTAGCCAAAGCTAGCTTGAAATTTGCAATCCTCCTGCCTCCAGTGCTGGGATTATAGGTGTGTGTCACAAGGCCTGAGTTGTATGTATTCTTCATACAATGAATCTATTCACTTATTCTACAGAAACATTAAAAATAGCAGTAGAGAAGCACCTTCTCAAAAGGTAATGAAAACATGGTTTATTTCTTGGAAGCATGTGCTTAGAAGAGCAGAACACCACTAGGGTGCAGCAAAGGTTGTCCCTTGGGACATGAACTGCAACTTCGAACTTCAAAGTCAAGG